ATTCAGCCCCTGTCTAAGTTTTCAACGTTATTTGAAAAAGTGTGCATGCGCATGAAAGCTCATACCTTGAATAAAATTTTGTTGGTCTTAAAGTGGCCAATGGATTCTAAATTTGTTCTAATAATAATCATCGTATGGCATTGTGTGTAGGATAGCCAGGAGACCCTAAGACTGTCAGGCAGTCAGAAGTTCTAGCTCTTTAGTGTTATGTACCACTAGGCGGTGAGCTAGACTTGTTTTTAAGGCAAGAGACATTTCAGAGGTGGTTTGCCGTTGCCTGCCTTTGCGTCACAACCCTGGTATTCCTTGGAGGTCGCCCTTCCAAATACTAGCCAAGGCCAAGTTGATGGCAAAAAAAAAAAGAGAAAGTATCTTAATTCAGTTTTTAAAGCTCTTAGAGGGCCAACGTGATGTGGTCGCTGAAGTGTTGGACCGCTAGGGTCTCGGAAATCCAGGTTGGAATCCCCACTCATGCCATGGATGCTTGCTGGGTGGCCTTGAGCCAGGGACACACTCTCAGCCGAACCCAGCTCACAGGACAAAGTCTGAGTCCAGTGGCACCTTTAAAACCAACAAAGTTTTAATTCTGGGTATGAACTTTCATGTGTATGTATCTGAAGAAGTGTGCATGCTTCAAAAGCTTATACCCGGGTTAGTCTGAAGCAACAGGACAAAAGTTTTGAGTCCAGTGGCACCTTTAAGACCAACAAAGTGTAAGTCTGGGCCAGAATTAAACTGTGTTGGTCTTAAAGGTGCCACTGGACTCAAAACTTTGTTCTGTTGCTTCAGATTAACATGGCTGCCCACCTGAATCTACCTCACAGGGCTGTTGTGAGGATAAAATGTAGGAGAGGAGAGCAACGTCAGCTGCTCTGGCTTCCCATTGGGAGAGAAGGTCAGGATCTAAATAATGCAGATACATAAGAATTCATTTTAACCCTGTATGTTTGGGGAGGGGTTGATTTTAATGGTTTTAAAATATGACTTGATTATGTATGTTTTTAATTGTTAAGCGAACCTGGCGCCCCTTGTAAAGGAAGGAGAGAGAGAGACGAGAAGAGATTGGATTTATACCCCGCCCTTCACTACCCAAAGGAGTCTCAGTGCGGCTGACAATCTCCTTTCCCTTCCCCCTCCCCACAACAGACACCCTGCGAGGTAAAAGAAGAAGAAGAGATTGGATTTATACCCCGCCCTTCACTACCCAAAGATGTCTCAGAGCGGCTTACACACTCCTTTCCCTTCCCCTCCCCACCACAGACACCCTGTGAGGTAAAAGAAGGAGAAGAAGAGATTGGATTTCTACCCCACCTTCCACTACCCAAAGGACTCTCAGAGCGGTTTACAATCTCCTTTCCCTTCCCCTCCCCACAACGGACACCCTGTGAGGTAGGTGGGGCTGAGAGAGCTCTGGCAGAGACTGCTCGGAGAGAACTTGTAACCGACCCAAGGTCACACCAGCAGCTGTACATGGAGGAGTGGGGAATCAAACCCGGTTCTCCCAGATTAGAGTCCACACTCCTAACGACTACACCAAACTGGCTCTCTAGAAAGGTGAGATACAGATATCGTACATAAAAATAAGCCAGGATAGAAACTGTTCAAGGACCTGAACTTCCAGTAGCCGAGAAGACCTTGAGCCAGTTCACTGCAATCCCATCTCCATAGCTAGGGTCACAATAGAACTAGGGTGACCTTGGGGTCAGTCACAAGTTCTCTCAGAGCAGTTCTTGAAAGAGCTCTCTCAGCCCCACCTACCTCACAGGGTGTCTGTTGTGGGGAGGGGGAGGGGAAGGAGATTGTAAGCCCCTCTGAGACTCCAAGTGAAGGGCAGGGTATAAATCCAATCTCTTCTTCTTCCACCCTCCAAATCTCCAGGAATTTCCCAACCTAAAGGTGGCAACCCTAGTCCTCTCAAGGCTCCACCAGTTTGGTGTAGTGGCTAAGCGTGCGGACTCTAATCTGGGAGAACAGGGTTTGATTCCCCACTCCTCCACTTGCACCTGGCTGGATGACCTTGGGCAAGCCGTAGCTCTGATAAGAGCTGTTCTTGAAAAAGAGCCGTTTCTGTCAAGAGCTCTCTCAGCTCCGGCTACATCACAGGGTGTCTGTTTTGGGGAGGGGAAGGGAAAGGAGTTTGTGAGCCGCTCTGAGACTCCTTTGGGTAGTGAAGGGCGGGGTATAAATCCAATCTCCTTCTCCACCTCCTCTTTTTCTCATTTTTCTGTGGCTTTAAAAGTAGACAGGGACTTTACATGCTTTTTCCAATTTATGCTTAGGAAGAGGTGAATGGCAGAGTAGATATGTGTATTTTATCCTGGGTGTTACCACATTAAAGGTACAGACAAATATCATTACTTTAACTCATTCCGCGGTGCAAAGAATTTGTTAACTGGAATGGGAAACCATTCTGTGGCACAAAGTATTGTTTAAAAGTGACAGCCCCAACCAGCTTAAGACACAGAGTTCGGTCCCCCTGGACAAAGTGGCGCCTTCAGGGAATGGACCCTATGGCATCATATCCCTGCTTAGTTCTCTTTCCTCCCCTGCAGTACATTGGGACAAAAAAAATTCCCCACTTCAGGTATAGGCTAAAGAGGTCTGAACCAGTGTTCCCTCTAAGCTGAGACAGTGTGAGCCAGCTCACAGTTTTTTAGCCTCCGGCTCACACATTTTTGTCTCCGCTCAGGAAGGATGGGGCTCCAGAAGCAATGTTCCCTCTAAGCTGTGGAGTCATGCGAGCAAAAATTCTGTTTTGTGAGCTGCTGGCATTAAAGTTGTGAGCAGGCAATTTGGCTGCTGCATCAATTAGTTTGCTCTGGAGCTGCATCCTTCCTGAGCTAAGACAAAAATGTATGAGCCGGAGGCTAAAAAACTGTGAGCCGGCTCACACTAACTCAGCTTAGAGGGAACACTGCTCCAGAGCAAACTAATTTATGCAGCAGCCAAATCGCTCGCTCACAACTTTAATGGCAGTAGCTCGCGCAGTGGAATTTTTGCTCACACGAGTCCACAGCTTAGAAGAAGAAGAAGAGAAGAGATTGGATTTATCCCCTGCCCTTCACTACCCAAAGGTGTCTCATAGCGGCTTACAATCTCCTTTCCCTTCCCCTCCCCACAACAGACACCCTGGGAGCAATGTTCCCTCTAAGCTGTGGAGTCCTGTGAGCAAAACATTTACTTTGTGAGCTACTTTCATTAAAGTTGTGAGCGAGGGATTTGGCTACTGCATAAATTAGTTTGTTCTGGAGCCATCCTTCCTGAGTGAGGACAAAAATGTGTGAGCTGGAGGCTAAAAATCTGTGAGCTAGCTCACACTAACTCAGCTTAGAGGGAACACTGCCTGGGAGGTAGGTGGGGCTCAGAGAGCTCTGACAGAAACTGCTTTTTTTCAAGAACAGCTCTTATCAGAACTACAACTTGTCCAAGGTCATCCAGCCAGGTGCAAGTGGAGGAGTGGGGACTCAAACCCGGTTCTCCCAGATTAGAATCCGCGCACTTAACCCACTACACCAAACTGGCTGCATTGGTCTGAACTTGCTGAGACAGAAAGGGAAAAAGATCTCATGTTCGTAGTAGATACCTCAATTAAAGTGTCAACCCAGTGTGAAAAAGGCAAACTCAGTGTTAGGGACTATTAGGAAAGGGATTGAGAATAAAATGGCCAATAGTATAATGCCCCGGATAGATCTGTGGTATGGCCTCATTTAGAATACGGTTTCTGGCCTCATTTAGAATACAGTTTCTGGTCACCGTATCTCAAAAAGGATACTGCAGAGTTCCAAAAAGTACAGAGGAGGACAACCAAGAAGAAGAAAAAGAAGAAGAGATTGGATTCATACCCCGCCCTTCACTTGGAGTCTCAGAGCAGCCTACAAACTCCTTTCCCTCCCCCTCCCCACAACAGACGCAAACTGCTCTTTCAGGAACAGCTGTGCCAGAGCTTTTGACTGACCCAAGGTCACACCAGCAGGTGCAAGTGGAGAAGTGGGGAATCAAACCCGGTTCTCCCAGATTAGAGTCCGCACACTTAACCACTACACCAAACTGGCTCTCGCCAAGGTGATACTCCAAGATGATGAGGGGGTGGAGTACCTTCCCTAGGAGGAAAGGCTTTGAAGAGTCTAAGACTTCAGTTTAGAAAAGAGACAACTAAAGCAAGAGGGGCATAATATAGGTTTGTAAAATGACGCATGGGGTGGAGAGAGTGGACAAAGCAAACCTTTTCTCCTTTTCCCTCAGTGCTAGAACTTGAGGCCATCCAAAGAAGCTGATGGTCAGTAGGTTCAGGACAGACAAAAGGAAACACAACTTTACACAGAAAGTCATTAAAATGTGGAACTCACTGCCAGAGGATGTAGTCAGGGCCACAGGAATGAACAGCTTTAAAAGGGAGGTTAGAGAGATTCATGGAGAAGAAGAGATTGGATTTATACCCCGCCCTTCACTACCCAAAGGTGTCTCAGAGCGGCTTACAAACTCCTTTCCCTTCCCCACCACAGACACCCTGTGAGGTGGGTGGGGTTGAGAGAGCTCTTGACAGAAACTGCTCTTTTTCAAGGACAGCTGTGCCAGAGTTACGGCTTGCCCAAGGTCATCCAGCCAGGTGCAAGTGGAGGAGTGGGGAATCAAACCCGGTTCTCCCAGATTAGAGTCCACGCACTTAACCACTACACCAAACTGGTGTCTACCAATGGTTACTACCCATAGTGACTGAGGGGAACCTCCACATTCAGAGGCACTCAACCTCTGAATCCCAGTGCCGAAAGGCAACATCAGGGGAAGGCCTCGGCCTCTCTGCCCTGTTGCTGGCCCTCCAGAGGAACTGGTTGGCCTCTGTGTGAGACAGGAGGCTGGACTAGATGGACTATTGGACTGACCCAGCAGAGTTCTCCTTATGTTCTCCCCCCAGTCTACTGCCCTCAGACCTCCAAAAATGTCCCCAACCCAGAGTTGTCCACGCTAAATGGGATAGCATTAAGGGGGGGGAGCAACTTTACCTGCAAGGTGCTACCGCATTCGTGGAGCCCAGCTGCAAAGACCACCGTCTCCTTGGCAGCGTCGAGGGAGGTGTGCTTACAGCCGGAGGCGCCCAGGCTGAGGTCGGCCGCTTGGACCAACCTCCCCGTCCCAAACAGGTCCCTCTTCACCATGACCACCAACTGGGCCTCCTCGCACTGCACCGAAACGGGGGTCAAGGCGGACAAAGCTCTCGGCTGGGAGACGTCCACCACGGCCCAGGAATTGGAACGGGACCAGACAGGAGAATCCACAAGCTGCCTTTCAGGAGCAGCCGTTCTGGGACGGCTCAAGAGGCCCACGTGTCTCCCAGAGAAATCCCAAGGATTGTAAGAGGCAACTAAGGTGGCTGTGAAGCACAGCACGGCGACGCTGAGCTGCCCTGAGCCGCCCATCCTACCTGCTGGATCAAGCAAAGCCCTTCAGAAGAGAAGCAGCCCTCGAGGGGGTCCTTATATGCTGCCACTCCGGACCTTTCACAGCTGCTAGAGGTTAGGACTGGGAGAGAATGAGTCTGCCTTTCTTCCAAGGGCAGGGCAGGGGAAGGACTGATAGGAAATCAAGCTCAGCTGCAGACAGTCCGGATTCTGCAGTGCTTGCTTTAAGCCACACTCTGAAAACACTTACAACAGGCTTTTGCCTGCATTAGTAGGTAAAAGGTAAAGGTTCCCTTGCTCGAAAGCCAGTCGAGTCCGACTCTAGGGTTGCGGTGCTCGTCTCCGTTTCAAAGCCGAAGAGCCAGCGCTGTCCAAAGACGTTTCCGTGGTCATGTGGCCGGCATGACTAAATGCCAGAGCTGCTAGGTTGGCAGGAGCTGGAACTAGAGATGGGAGCTCACTCCGTCATGCGGCAACTCGGGTCTCGAACTGCTGAACTACTGGCCTTCCAACAGCCTGCAGTTCAGCGTCTTAACCACTTGAGCCACCGCAGCTCCTGCATTATTTCCTTCATTCACACACCCTCCCATTCTCCCCAGTGGAACCCACAAAAGCAGCTAACATCCATCACTGCTCCCCCTACGCTGAGTTAGTGTGAGCTCACAGGTTTTTTAAGCCTCCGGCCCACACATTTTTTTGTCTTCGCTCAGGAAGGATGGCTCCAGATCGAACTGATTCACGCAGCAGCCAAATCGCTCGCTCATAACTTTAATGCCAGCCGCACACAAAGTAGAACTTTTGCTCACCAAGCCTCCACGGCTTAGAGGGAGCATTAAACACCGTTCCCCTCCCCTCCCCTCCCTTTTATTCTCACAACAGCCCTGTGAGGCGGGCTCAGGCTGACAGCATATGACTGGCCCAAGGTCACCCAGCAAGCTTCTGAGGCAGGATGGGGATTCGAACCTGGGTCTCCCAGATTCTATTCTGGCACTCTAACCTGACACCACCCTGGCATTGGTAAAGGTAAAGGTTTCCATTGCTCGAAAGCCAGTCGAGTCCGACTCTAGGGTTGTGGTGCTCATCTCCATTTCAAAGCCAAAGAGCCAGCGCTGTCCAAAGACATTTCCGTGGCCATGTGGCCGGCATGACTAAACACCAAGGTGCACGGAACGCTGTTACCTTCCCACCAAAGTGGTACCTATTTATCTACTTGCAATTTCTTGCTTTCAAACTGCTAGGTTGGCAGGACCTGGAACTAGAGACGGGAGCTCACTCTGTCATGCGGGGAGGGGTTAGGGAGGGGAAGAGAAAGGAGTTTGTAAGCTGCTCTGAGACTCCGAGTGAAGGGCGCGGTATAAATCCAATCTCTTCTCTTCTTCTCCTTCTCTATGTTGAATAAAACCACCCAGCAACGTTTCGTGGCAGAGTCAGGATTCGAACCTGGGTCTCCCAAATCCAGCTCTGGTTCATTGTATGGTGCAACACAGAACTGGTACTTGCCAATTCTATCTGTCTGTAACCTGCAAATGTGAAAGTATCTGTTACATGCCTACGGGTGGATTTACTCGACAGTAAGTCCAATTAGATCACTAGAACGAAGTTTGAGTCCATCGGCACCTTTAAGACCAACAAAGTTTAATTCTGGGTATCTGAAGAAGTATTCTTATTCCCAGAATTAAATTGTGTTGGTTTTTAAAGGTGCCGCTGGACTCAGCCTTCATTCTGTTGCTTCAGACCAACACGGCTACCCACTTGAACCAAGGAGACCACTGTAAGAGGAAAGGTTTGACTGAACATTCTTCACTTTTCAAGGAGGAAAAAGAGCAGGTTGGCTTCTTTACCCAGCCAAGACGGGACAGGCTATTGCTGAATGAATGGAGTTCAAGGGTATGAAGAGGAAGAGGAGTAATCAGCAACATATACAGGCGTAGAGCCAGTTTGGTGTAGTGGTTAGGAGTGCGGACTCTAATCTGGGAGAACCGGGTTTGATTCCCCACTCCTCCACATGCGGCTGCTGGTGTGACCTTGGGTCAGTCACAAGTTCTCACAGAGCTGTTCTCTCAAGGGCAGTCCTCGAAAGCGCTCTCTCAGCCCCACCTACCTCACAGGGTGTCTGTTGTGGGAAGGGGCAAGGGAAGGGAAAGGTGATTGTATGCCGCTCTTGAGACTCCTTTGAGTAGCGAAGGGCGGGGTATAAATCCAATCTCTTCGCTCTTCTCCTCTCAATCCTTGGGGCAAGAATGGGGACTTTGAAAGCGCATCAACCCGCTCCTGTTCCGAGCTGTGGCACATTGGAGGGTATATGTACCAGGTTGCCAACTCTGGCTTGGGAAATTCCTCGAGATCTTGGGGGCGGGGTGGAGCCTGGGGCGGAACCTCAGCAGGGCATAATGCAATAGAGTCCACCCTCCAAAGCAACCATTTCTTCCAGGGGTCTGTAGCCTGGAGGTCAGTTGTAATTCCAGGGGAGCATCGGATCTCACCGGGACGCTGGCAACCCCAGGTATGCAGGAGCAGAGTTCGCCCTTGAAACGAGTTCAGAAGAAGAGTTACAAAATCGGTCATAATGTTGGGAAGATCAAGGTCCGTGAGAGTAAAGTTTGAAAGATCTGAGCCTGCTTAGCCTGGAGATGAGAAAACAAGGGAAAGGGGGTCACAGAAACATAGTGCTGGAAGGAACCTCAAGGGTCATTCCACTTTGTGGTCTCTCGTTCCAGTTCTGGAACACCCCTGCTACCCCAAGGGCTGTCATTGCACTCTGGGGCCTATCGTTCCAGTCCCAGAACACACCTCCTACCCCCAGGGGCTGGCATTCTACTCTGGGACCTCTCATTCTAGTCCCAGAACACTCCTGCTACTTCCAGGGGCTGTCATTCCATTTTGTGGCATTTCGGTGACTTCCAGAACATACCTGCTACCCTCAGGGACTGTCATTCCACTCTGGGGCCTTGAAAGCCGTCGCTGGTTGGCTTAGACTGAGTCGATTGAAATTGAATCCGACGAAGACAGAGGTCCTGTGCCTGAGACGAAGTGGACCAAGGTTAGGGAGCCCACTCCCGACCTTCGATGGGGCGCCGTTGGTGCCAGCGCCGGAGGTTAGGAGTCTGGGAGTGCTCCTGGATGCCTCCTTAACGATGGAGGCCCAGGCAGCAGCCACTGCCAAGGCAGTCTTTTACCATCTACGGCTGATTAGGCAGTTGGTTCCCTTCCTTGAACGCAATGACCTGGCAACAGTGATCCATGCAATGGTCACCTCGAGGTTGGATTACTGCAGTGCTCTCTACATGGGGCTGCCCTTGTCCCAGATCCGGAAGCTGCAGCTGGTGCTGTTCCTTCCTGTGCGGGAGCACATCCAGCCAGTTTGGTGTCCTGGTTAAGTGCGCGGACTCTAATCTGGGAGAACCGGGTTTGATTCCCCACTCCTCCACTCGCACCTGGCTGGATGACCTTGGGCAAGCCATAGTTCTGGCACAGCTGTTCTCTCAAGGGCAGTTTCTGTCAGAGCTCTCTCAGCCCCGCCTACCTCACAGGCAATGTTCCCTCTAAGCCGTGGAGTCTTGTGAGCAAAAATTCTACTTTGTGAGCTACTGGCATTAAAGTTGTGAGTCAGTGATTTAGCTTCTGCATAGTTTGCTCTGCAGAGACGGTCATCCTTCCTGAGCTAAGACAAAAAATGTGTGAGCTGGAGACTAAAAAACTGTGAGCTAGCTCACACTGACTCAGCTTAGAGGGAACACTGGTTGGGTTTAACTTGATCTAGAACCAACTGATTTGTCTCTTTGGTGTCCCACGGTAGCCATAAAACTCTCCTCTGGCACCAGATTTCAAAGGAATCTACTTAAGAACATAAGAGAAGCCATTTGGGGTCAGTGCAATGTCCCATCCAGTCCAACACTCTGTGTCACAAGGGGGCCAAAACTCAGGTGCCATCAGGAGGTCCACCAGCAGGGCCAGAAGCCCCCCCCCCGGTGTTGTTCTCTAAGCACCAAGAAGACAGAGCATCACTGCCCCAAACAGTGTTCCCTCTATACCTTGTGGCTAATAGCCACTGATGAACCTCTGCTCCAGATGTTTCTCCAATCCCCTTCTTGAAGCTGTCTAGGCTTGTAGCTGCCACCACTTCCTACAGCCATAAATTCCATGTGATAATGACTCTTTGGGTCTTTTCTGTCAACTTTTTTTTACTGTCTGGTTTTCACACCCATAAATTCTAATGGGGAATGCTATGGCATAGTATTGCATATCTGCAGCTTAGCCGATCCCAAAATGGCAAAGGTTGAAAACCACTGGTGTAAGAGCTATCAACACACATGCTATTCCTCTCCACAGGGTCCAGAGAACCACAGGAGGAGACCACACTTTGGAATTCAGTACCCTATCAACACACATGGTATTCCTCTCCACGGGGTCCAGAGAACCACAGAAGAGGAGGAGACCACACTTTGGAATTCAGTACATATGTGGACTGATGCTGGGAAAGATTGAAGGTCAAAGAAGACGGGGACGGCAAAGGATGAGATGGTTAGACAGTGTCATAGATGCAATGAACAGGAAGTTGAGCAAACTTCAGAGGACGGCGGAAGACAGGAAGGCCTGGCGTGATCTGGTCCATGGGGTCACGAAGAGTCGGACTCAACTGTGCGACTGAGCAACAACAACAACAACATATGTGGGGCAGTGATGCTCTGCATTTTTGGTGCTTGGGGGCCAACAGTGGGAGGGCTTCTGGAGTTCTGACTTCTGTTGGTGAACCTCCTGGTGGCACCTGGGTGTTGGCCACTGTGTGACACAGAGTGTT